AAATGCTAAATAATTTTTTTAAATAATATAATTTATTGGAAGAGTACCCTGCAAGTTGGTATACCTATTTTATTACGACTAAAAGTAAGATGAAAATTTCAATCGTGTGGTTTTAAATGGGATAAATTGTGTTATGATTTATTTGAGCTTGCAATGGCCTTGGGAAAGCTTGCAAAAGTAAACTTGGAATTTTTAAATTGGAATGTATATTTCTTAAAATTCTTGTAAGATAATATCAAAAAATTTTCAGAACGCTATTCACATATAACTTTTGAAAACATTTTTTAAATATACATCAAAGAATTCGAACACTTGGATGTGCTACATTCATCAACTGAAATGTTTAAAATAATGATACACGTAGCAAGAAGAAATTTTAAAAGTATATCAGTAAAATTAGAATGTACTAGACTATCTATCGTAGATACGGACCGTGGTGGCGCTAGTGAGTTACGTGCAATATCGTCTTAAGACAGCCATAAATGCAACTAGAACTTTTTATTCTTTAATTAATTGTCTTCAGCTAATATTACACATTCTTTTCAAATATTTTTTCGATTCTCCAATGACCCATGTTTATATTAAGTTGGTAGAAAAATAATTTCGATTTTTGCAGCTTGATATTGGAATAAATTCTAAATGTGCTTATGCTATGTATCGTTCGAAAGCGCTGACTCCGCTCTATATCTTGATAATAAACATTTTGTATGTAGTGATGATTCGCCTTTTATTTGGGTTATTTAATTAGTGATAGAAAAGTAGCAAAACGAAATTATTTTTCTACCAACCTAACAATAAACGTATTGTAAATACTATATCCAATATTGAATTATTTTCTAATTTTTCTTCTTACTATATACATCACTTTATTATTTCACTTTAACACGCTTATATCGTTTCTTAAAAGCAGCACATGGAAACATTCGAATACTATCACGTATGTCACAGTAAAAACCTGAAATCATTTGGAACTAATTTCGACTAATTTCTGATTTTAATTTTGACGTAAAAAATAGGCAAAGAGAGATACATTACCAGCAGAAGATCAGTAGGTTGTCCTTTTTCGTTCTCCTTGAATACCATGTTGTTAACCCAACAATCGCCGTGATTCAGCACACAAAATTCACCCTCATCGTAATTATTCACCTCTTTGCATCGTTCTCCGATGGTTTCCGATAATTTAATTAGCTTCTCCGCCGGGCTGTGACACTTTTCGTTCGGCCATTTTCGCATCTGGGTACCCATTCGTAGTAGGCTCACTTCCATCATTCGCATATAAAGTGTGGAACATTTGTCTGTCACGATGCCGCCATCTTTGAAACGCTCGATCATCTCTGGATGCTGTAAAAAGTAAATTCGATAAATTATTTATAAGGCTTGAAGAAGCGTCACGAAGCTTGTAATCCATCTTTTTATGGCTATTTTATACCCAAAGTATAAAAAGTACTATGTGAAAAGTACTATATGTACTATGTTATACTTTCTGTCCATTATTACATCGGATCATTTACTTTTTGTATTCAATTTTGTTTTATATTTATATTTAACACCACCTTAGTATTATATTTATATTTAATATTCACTATATTACTATATTTACTATATCATACTATATTATTATATAAATATATTTGTATTCAATATTCACTATACTGTGGGCGTTATTTAATACTATACTATATTACTATATTTACTATACCATACTATATTACTATATTTACTATACCATACTATATTACTATATTTACTATACTGTGCTATGTTACTATATTTACTATACTATACCATACTACTATATTTAGTATTTAATATTACTTTATTTACATATTACTATGTTTGTATTTAATATTACTTTATTTACATATTACTATGTTTGTATTTAATATTACTTTATTTACATATTACTATGTTTGTATTTAATATTACTTTATTTACATATTACTATGTTTGTATTTAATATTACTTTATTTACATATTACTATGTTTGTATTTAATATTTACTATATTACTATATTTACTATGTCATACTATGTTATTATATAAATATATTTGTATTCAATATTCACTATACTGTGGACGTTATTTAATACTATACTATATTACTATATTTAGTATTTAATATTACTTTATTTACATAGTACTATATTTATATTTAATATTTACTATATTACTATATTTACTATGCTATGAGTAGTAAACAGTAGATAAAGAATATGATAAACAACATTCTTACCCATATGAAGCACAGAAAGAAAGTAATACTGCGAAGTACGAACTTAAAAAAGAATTTGCAATTTGAGAATTCAAAAAATTTTGGAAAATGGAAGACATGTTTAACAAAAAAAGAAAAAAAGAAGCTAAAACTCGAATATGTAACAGCTATATTAACGTGATGAACTAGCAGGTTTCACACGAAACTCTGGCTTTTACTGAGTTTTTCAGTGATAACTCGCAAGGTTTTACGAATTCGATAAATCGAGGTTCCACTGTACGACTTCGAATACGCACCTTTTCGAAAACAGCAACAGATCCAGCGTGTAATCTCGCAAGTTGTTCCATAACTAAACGACAGTGTTCAAATGTCAATCCTTTCTGCCGATCTTTCATGATGAACCCCCTCTCTTTCAAATCTTCCATGATAAGAATATGAGGATTGGAAGAGCCGTAGTAAAGATTCGGACTCAATTGATGCTTGACAAATTCCTTTATCTTGGGTAAAAAGTCACGAAGAACTGACAATTCCACTAGGAACATATCCTGCTCACGTAGCATGAGCAGTGGTATTTTCTCTGATGGTTCCATCTTAATTATCCAATTTTCCGATCTCGTTTCAGTCTTCTTTTCGTTAGAGGTGACAGTGTATTGAATGTGTACACGGAATATATCACTGAAGAAATTCAATCCCTTCTCCGTCATACTGTGAGGTCGAATCTCCAAGATTTGGAACAACTTGCCCGGTTCCTTGTTTCGAAGTGCTTCCTCGAATAGATGTTCGTCGATTCCTAGATCCTTTAGTTCCATTCTATAAATTACACAAATAATCATCGAGCATTTGTCTCGTATGCATGTACAGTAATAACAATTACACGAGAAATATTATCATCAACCCTTTCACGAGTTTCGGCAGCCTTAAGACGATTTTCCGCTTAACTCACTAGCGCCACCACGACCCGTATCTACAATCTATCACGAATATCACTAATTTCACTGATATAATCTTCGAAGTTCTTTCTTACTACTTGTGTTATGTTGTTTGTATAATATTGTTGTACGTGTACGACCATACTCGTGAAAGGATTAGTATTAATAAATTTGTAGTACATTAGTATTAATAGTAATAATAAAGGTTAATATTGTAATAATAATATTAATAATAAAGTTCGATATTATTAATAATAGAAGATGGGAATATGGATCAAGGTTCTTTTTTAATTATGCAGGTACAGTGATGCTCACTTATTTTTATATAACAATTTACTAATTATTATTCTTATATTAAATCTGTTCTAGAAACTGCAAAAATATATGCGAACTTTTTGTTTACAGAAAAAGAGTGAAAAAATTAGTCCGGTTGAGTATAGGAATACTTTTTACATGTACTGTACATACTTTAGATGATTCTCACGAAATAAACGAAAATATAATTTCACATTACAAACGAAAACTAATTTTTCTTAGTTACTCGTCTACGTTATACTGACTACTTTAAACGAGAATCACAAACAAATGCCTACCAAAGTCACGTCGATTGTATTTTCTTTTTGTTTTGTAATTATAAATCGAAACTTTTCACTTTTCTTATGATTTTGTCACACTTACCTATAAATAATATATATGCATTAAAAGAAATCTGAAAAAGTTCTTCCCTGTCTGGTTACTTTACATTAATCTTTACCGCATTATCTACTGAGCGAATAATTTTGCGACTTACTGTACACGCATATTATTTCTTTTCTTTCATATTTCTATTGAGATAAGCGACGAATGATAATTCAAGATTGATGATACAACTTACTGTATGTTTACCAATTAATTTTAATTTTAGTTGTCTAGGTCATGATCCTGGTGGAAGCAGAATCGTTTAAATAATAAGACAATTGTGATAAGACAGTCTGTGATAAAGAAACAACAAGCGATTGAGTAATTACACAAAACACCTGCAGTAAAATGATAAACTGATGGCTATAGTACTTCTTACTACTAATTTCATACACTTTGATGTATACGTATGTACCTATTACAGATTGATACACTCTGATACGTTTACACAGATTTGATAGATCTAGATACCTTGAAGACCCCTATTGCTAACTGACGCACTTTGATATGCATACACATGTTTGGTGGATCTAGATACCTTGAAGACTCCTGATATACTGATCATCGTTAAGAGTGCAGAGATTCGAATTACGAATTACGAGAGCTGAACAAAGCCCTTCGAAAAATCAGCTATAATACAGCCCACATACAATTATGCACGTGGAACCTCGTGTCCAAATACGACGCACACAAGCGCACGCACACGCATTCGGCTCAAAATGCATCTATTGTCCTAACAACGTATCCTTCAACTATAAGGATTCTATATATAAAAATAAATTTTTTAATCAAAATTGATAATCATAATTTTGAGCCTAAAGAAAATAAATTTCGTTTAAAATAATAATTTAAAATAAATATAATCCAATAATTAAGCACTAATCAGGAACGAGGTATATTTTGAAAATTAAAAAATGTGAATTAAAATATTTGTATATTAAAAAAGTGGCTTTTCGTTCAATGACGACACGAAAAATAAACCAACCCTAATCGAATTGATCATTTTTTCAAATTCTTTCGGAATAATAAAAAATTGTTCCTACGCCATTGTTTTGAGTAATAAAAGGTGCGAATAATTTGTTGATAATATATAAAAGTATATTAAAGTATATAAAAATTATTAAATATATAAAAAGAGAATTTGGAACAAAATTCGAAACTCGAAATTCCTGAAAATCACATCGATTCGAAGTAAAAATTCCGAAATGTTTAAATCCCAAAATTTTTTACAATATTTTCTTTGTTATTTTTATAACGCATAAGTAATAAGAAGAAATCTCTAGCCAGCGTAATATAATAGTCCTTGATATCTGATTTCAAAGTTACCCGCCATTTGTGATATACTTCGAACGTTATAACTTGTTACTCGCTAAATTAACCTTTGAGCGGTTGAGTAGTTGAGTAATGCCGATAGTGCCAATTGATAATAATTTAACTATTCTACTCTACTGCTAGACTAACAACTATTTTATTCTATTCTATTTAATTATACTATTCTCTGCCAATTATTAATTTCTGTTATTTTTTAATCCACAAAATATTCGATTAATTTCTATTCCGCCAATTATTAATTTTGCATTAAAATGTATCATTATGTATCATTATTTTCGTGTATTGAAATAAAATTCGTCATTGTAACTATATTAACGAAAAATACGTTTTGCTTATAAAAGGTTATATATATATAATAAAATTAAATGGAGAATTACAAATAACAGCGTTTTAATGTAACTAGAATATACTTGCATCTAAAGATACTTCAATTTGACGTCAAGTTACCATTGATGATACGCAGTTACTTTGAGGTTACGTTACCGCTAGTGACATTAAAAACTAACCACCATTTTGAAGTTAAAGGGGTGTAAACAAATATTTTTCTTTTATAGGCAAACTTGAGCAGCTAAAAGTAGTATAGTTTATTATACTATAGTTTATAGATTAATATGCTCCCAATTAATAAAAACGGATTTTTCGAATGCTTTTTGGTACTTTTTTTTATAATTCAAAATAAAATTGATAAACGTTTAATGTAAAAAATAACATGACCTTTATTTAAAAAAGGGGCTTAAGAAATTGAAATAAATTTGGAGCATAATTTTTTACAATTGAAAAATTCGGTAAAAATTATTATTAAAATCTAATTACTTTTGTGAACACTTTAAGGTATACGAAATTACGAATGTCGTCTCATGGATGCACTCTCATGGGCAAAGTTGCATGTGTTAGTATCGATCTCTTTTTGTTAATATCTCGGAAAAGAGAGCCGACAGCTAATTTTTTCAAAGAAACAAATTATTCGGAATAACGCTGTTTACAACATATTTCAGATTCATCAAAATCGATGAGGAATTCGATACTTTACCTTATTTATTTATTCATAATTAAATTGTATGTGTTTATTTTAAATTATTAACATATCTTATATATATATTTATTTATAAATAAATATATGAAAATTGCTTTGCAAAATGGAATGAAGAATTATAAATATTAGAATGTCTTAGATTTCTACAAATGTGCAATTAACGTTTCAAAAACAAAATTAAAAAAATTGCACAATGCGTGGACCAATATCGGTGATTTTGAAATACGTTATAGAGGATGAAATTCGGAACAACTTTTGTTCCAACGATAATTTCCTCTTGGTCTTAATTCTCGAAATATTTGCGAAAATTGTTGGCACTACTACATTCAACTTTGCCTGTCCCCATATATATACATATGTATGTAGGTACACTCATTACACTTCACTCGTGACCCAGTGTTTCGTGTGTGTGTGTGTGTGTGTGTGTGTGTGTGTGTGTGTGTGTGTGTATATATAGCTTATTAATTAGGATTTTACATTAAAAAATTTATTTATATGGTTTCATAATATAAAAAATTTATTTATATGGTTTATAATATAAAAAATGTGTTATATATATATTATAATTGTTGCAATTCAATAGAATTTGACTAGAAAGTTCAATTATATTGACATTTTCGACTAATATCGTGGTGAGCAAACTTTTTTACATAAATAAGGAGGAAATATATATATATATATTACTTCCTTAAAGCAGACATGTTGCATATGATTATTATATAATGTATATATACAAACAGAGATTAAACAAGAAAACATAATTGTTATTCACGTCGCCACGAGACGACCGAATATTCGTGTAAACATAACCAAACTCGAGGCACCAAAAACTGTATCTAGAACTAATTAACACTGGCGGATTATTTCTGTTTAAAGAAATTAGAAATACGTTTTACGTACCTAGGCGTACACGTTCCGAAGATAATACAACTTCTGAATCACAAAAACGTTCGTTAAATGCTTTCCTGTCCGGTAACCTTTCACGTCTGTTTGCCAATTTCACGGACAAACGCTACACGAACGTCGCGCGAATACACCTCACAGCCGACTACAAACCGACACGTATTATACCCTATTCCTTTCAATCATACCAGTTAATATCCCCTCTGTCGTTTTCCGTTCTCATTCGCCTATTTGACGCGAGCATAACACACATGTACTATGCGTTGCTGAAAAGAAGTCATCCGAGACACTTGTAGCACCGAATCCCCACCAGTCCATCCATTCTAACACCATGGCAGAAGTAGAGTAAAATGCTTTCCTTATCGATAGAACTGGTCCCTTCTTATTAGCCCGGTCAAAGAACACCATGTGACGAAGAAAGCGAACGAAGCAACGAGACAAAGTGAGACAGACGCAAGAGGGTAGACTCATTCCAAAAGCATATTAACTTCAGATTCTTCCGATGAACACATGATTATTTCCAATCACTAATTACTAATTAGCATCTTAATTAACTTTTCATTGCATTATGCAGCAAACGTGATGTACTATACACATATTTTTTATATTTATGTTGTATCGTGTGATTTTTTTAAACGGTTATCTAGTATGATGCAATTATATAATTAATTTATCATAAAAAATACATCTTAAATTTTAAATCAATTTTCATAAACGATGTTAATTGTTATTACTTTTGTACTTCTTTACTTTATAAATCTTTGAGCTGTTGTCATCTGATTTCTTATTCGACTCACTGCTTTGTATTTCCAATTCTAGGTCTTCAGTTGCGTCTTCTATTATTCCATCTTTCGTCCAATATTCGTGTTCCAGTGTTTCTACGTGTTTACAAAATCCTTTCCAATCGTATGGTGTCGTTTCGTTTATTGCCTGGCGTAGTGGTGCTTCCAATTCATTGTAAGTTAACTCTGAGATAACGTTTCTTTCGCGGATATCTTACGCCTATGATAACGTATCACGTTAGCGAACTTGGAGATAGTAGTTTTGGGAGTGTCATAGAAGAGTGAGTATTACTAGCGAGAGTATAGACGGTACTAGTGGAATACCACTCCTGCTCCGCAACCAAACGAGCTGACTTCCTTTCAGCAACGCAGAATAGCTAGATACCCTGTGATCTCTTAATCGCGATAGCTTCTCCTTCTCAATCCTAAGTCCCAAATAGAAATTCCCAGTATCGTTATCCCCAGAGCAGATCTCAGACTGTCTAGCCAATGTAATTCCTTCGGCAATCATTGTATCCCAAGAAGCACAGACGGTGGTATATCAGACAAAGCAGCTAGTTTGCAGTTTCCTCGCGTCGATGATAATGGAGACTGAGAAAGTCCGAAGCAAGGAACGGAGGAGACATGAAATTAGTCGGTGACATAACCAATGAACCATTCGACCGGTTGATTCAATAAATCCGTGTTATGGAGCAGGGTTGCGCGTTGCAACGACGCTTACGATTAATTCGGCAGAATTAATGTGAACCGCTGACACTGTGCCGCGAGGTTAAGTCGTTTGGTTAGAACCGTGCGCTACAGGCAAACGGATTCGCCTTTTGCATCTGGTTCGCGCATTTCTCGCGATCTCTGAAGGATCGTAGCTCGATTCAGGCTCGAACCGGGTGGATCGAGAAGGTGGATCCCTTCAGGGAAATCGGGGAGAAAATTTGGCCCCGATTTTTCACGGCTGTGGAAGGAACGTCGTAAACTCGCGAAGATAGACGCAGGCCGCGAGGTCACTTGATCGCTTATTGACCACTGTCTACTCGTGTTGACACCACAGACCTTAGATGGATAAATATACCGTCGAGGCGCGGGTCAAGTGGATATCTGCACGGTGTTCGCCCACATCAGGTTGAAACTGCCGCGGAACTCTTTGCCCTCGAAAGCTTCGCATAACTCCTGAAACTCGCTTCTCACCTAGCATCGTAATTCCAAAGTGGAAATAAAATGGCTGAGAGAGACGTAATTAGTGTTTCTAGGAATATAATAATCCGGTTGCTAAAGTCTCGTTTATCTGCTAAATAGGACAATGCTTATTTGTTGTACAGGGTGGAACACTTCTATTGCTCTCATTTTTAATAAACTTATTTTCTTTGTTTTTAATAACATAGTTAATTTAACAAAAGTTGAGTATTGGTGCTCCACCTATCGTGATAACTCTAGAATGGAAACAAAATGGCCGAAAGAACTAAAATTAGAGTTTCCAGAAAAATAATTATTCGTTTGCCAAAGTCTCGCTTATCAACTAAATACGACAGTGCTTATTTATTATATAGAGTGGACGACTTTTATTGCTCCCATTTTTAATAAGATGATATTTCCTGTCTTTAATAACGTAGTTAATTTAACAAAAATTAAATATCGTTGTTGATAATTCTAAAATAGAAATAAAATGGCCGAAAGAACTAAAATTAGAGTTTCCAGAAAAATAATTATTCGTTTGCCAAAGTCTCGCTTATCAACTAAATACGACAGTGCTTATTTATTATATAGAGTGGACGACTTTTATTGCTCTCATTTCTAATAATTTCATTTTATTTATTTTTAGTGACACAATTAATTCAACAAAAATTGAATATCGCTGTATCGTCTATCGTAATGACTCCAAGTATACATCCTAACCTAAGGTGACTGCATCGAAACGATGTCATTGATCTGCTTGAGGAAAGAAATAGACAATACCATGGGAATAAAGATTGAATTCAACTTGCGTTGAATTCGTTCAGAGAATTGATGACTCGTTCAATGAGATGGAATAAAACATAACTGACCTTCGTGAGCAATAAACTCATTTTCTACATCGTTATTGTATTGAGAAATGCTGAATGATTTTAAATGAAGTAGCTATCTGTAGCTAGTAATTACGTTGGGTACATCGCACGTTTATTACTGTTCTTTTTTCGTATCTCATATTTTGGTTATAGTCTTAAATAGAAATTTATGCAATATATCATTGTTATTGTACAGTATCATTATTGTTATTTAATCAGAAACACTTTTGACCATTGTATGATTAGTTCGTTAATCAAAGTGATTAATTTCACTTCCTCAATTTTGAACAATTTTAGTGCTAAAAATTATTTTAAATTGAATTCTTTTTTAATTTTTAGTTCTTGATTATTTTTTAAATAAACTTCTCTTTATATTTATGTTGTTATATAAATTTAATTATTTATAAATGTTATTTTTATATTCAAATGCTCTTTATACTTGAAAGAAATTTTAGTCTCATTTTTTTTTTTTGGAATTAATCATATGAGTGGTACTATTTTATACTATGTTATTCTATATTACTATTTTAGTCTATGCTATACTATTTTATACTACTATTTTAGTCTATACTATATCTGTTCTATTTAAAGAAACAAAGAACTTATGATTATACTGATAAGTGAGAAACGACCTTCAAATAGACTTCGGTTCCTAAATCACTATAATTCTGTTTACTCTGCTAGCTGCTACCATGAAGTGTTATCTAAGCTAAATAGGAGATGAATTTTGACTGGCTAGATGGCAAACAGATCGAGCCTTAGAAAACTGACGAAGATTCACTCAAATTATATTTTGCACTTACATCATTATGATCCATAGGTATATAGGGTGTCCCAAGAATCATTATACAACCCTAAATGATTATATGGAATAAATATGCAAAAATAAGTCGACAAGAAAGAATGACGTTTCGAATTTGAGTTTTTGAAAAATGTAAATTCGGAAATTTGTACAACGTCTATGTATTAATTGGAATTACATTTGTATTATTAAACATGAACAGTGTCGCGATTTGCTTCATGTTATTGTTATCATTTATCAGGAGTTAAACAGATACGTTAGGTAGCATTGAAAATATTTTTACGAATATCTCTGGCGCTAAAGACTGTCGATAGTTGAATGTATAGAACAAAATTATTCAGAGTGCTGACCCTGACAATATATCTCAATGTTATTGAAATTGCTGAAGTGTATCTTATTTCCAATTACTACATTCTATTTTCGTATTATTCTGATTTACTGATATAAAAAAACAATTTGTAAATAGTTTACGAAGTAGTTACTACTTTTCTGACACTCGTGGTTTACTAATACTAGTGACTATAATCATCCAACGTCTAACTTTTATATTGTTCTAACGGTGACTATAATCACCTCGTTTCTGATACTCGCAGTATACTAACAATGACATTTAATCACTCAACGTGCAATTTTCACGTTGTACTAGCTTTGGTTATAGTCACTCAATGTGTAGTGATCGCTGCGTACCAATGGTGACTATAGTCACCTAGTTTATAACGTTCGCTGCGAATTAATGGTTACTATAATCTCCCAATGTCTAACTTTACATTCTACTAACGGTGACTATAATCATCCAATAACTAACTTTCGAGTTGTACTAACGTTGACTATAGTCATCCAATGTATAATGATCACCGCGAACTGATGGTGACTATAATCATCCAATAACTAACTTTCGAGTCGTACTAACGTTGACTATAGTCATCCAATGTATAATGTTCGCTGCGAACTAATGATGACTATAATCACCCGATGTCTAACTTTACATTCTACTAACGGTGACTATAGTCATCAAATGTATAATGATCGTCGCGAACTAACGGTGACTATAATCATCCAGTAACTAACTTTCGAGTTGTACAAACGTTGACTATAGTCATTCAATGTATAATGATCACCGCGAACTGATGGTGACTATAATCATCCAATAACTAACTTACGAGTCGTACTAACGTTGACTATAGTCATCACCCCCTGTATAACGTTCGCTACGAACCAACGTTGACTATAGTCATCACTTACTGTATAATGTTCGCTGCGAACTAATGATGACTATAATCACCCGATGTCTAACTTTTGGGTTATACTAACGGTGACTATAGTCATGCTGCGAACTAACAGTGACTATAATCACTCAATATCTAACATTTACGTTGTATTGACGATGACTATAGTCACCCAATCTATAACTCTCGCTGCGAGCTGACGGTGCCAATAGTCACTCCCTTTTTGACACTCGTGGTATACTAGCAATGACTATAATCATCCAACGTCTAACTTTTGCGTTGCTGTAACCGTGA